GACACTTTCTTTCACATGCACGTAGGCCCACCCTGCACTCACAGGCAGTTCACCTGGGGAGCTGTGCTCGGTGGGGACACCCACACCGTGGCTGAACTACACTACTTGGTGTGGAGTGTTCTCACAGGCTGAGTTGGCACTACAAAAGTGAAAGTGTTCACATGCAGGCCTGCCTGCTCCCTCATCTCCTCTTTTTTCTTTTTTTTTTTTGCTTGAAGAAGACTGTCCTTGAGCTACCATCTGTGCCAATCTTCCTCTATTTTTTGTATATGGGATGCTGCCACAGCATGGCTTGACAAGCGATGTGTAGGTTCACGCCCTAACCCAAACCTGCAAACCCAGGGCCACTGAAGCAGAGTGAACAAACTTAACCACTACACCACCTGGCCACCCCCCCCCCCCCCCCCCCCTCTTACAGTCACATGCTGGCTGCTGCCTGAGGACCCGTGACCTAGACTGCTGCCACTGGGGAGGGGGAGGGCATCCCCTCACCTCCTTCCACTACTTCCTGGGGATCCAGTATCCCCACCTTCAGATGAGTGGCTGTGTAGATCTCTCTGACATCCTATTGTACTTTGTAGGGAATCCTCTATTGGTTAATGAATGTCTGTTTGGTTGTAACTTAGGCGGGTAGAGACTAAGGGAACAGCTCACATCACCATGATGCTGACGTCACTCTCCTGAAAATCTGTTGCATTTTTAGACACTCATAACAAACTATCTTACAGAGAAATTAAGAAACCAATCTCATTTACAATTGCATCAAAAAGAATAAAATACCTAGGGATAAATTCAACCAAGGAAATGAAATATCTGTATACTGAAAACTGTAAGACATTAATGAATAAAATTGAAGAAGAAACAAATAAATAGAAAGATATTCCATGCTCATGGATTGGAAGAACTCATGACTCCAGATGGTAACCTGAATCCACATGAATAAATGAAGAGATCCAGAAATAATAAAGAAGAAGGCTACTATAACAAAAGCTACAAATATATACTTTCTTTCCTTTCTTCTCTCACTTTGAAGAGACAAAGTTATATAATGTAATAATTATAACAAGGTAATGTTGGGTTTGAAATATATATAGATGTGATATGTATAATAATATGACAACAAAGGGGAAAAGGGAATAGGAGTAACATTTTTATATTTCACTGGAATTAAGTCAGCATAAAGCTAAAGCTGATTCTGGTCATTTAAGATGTATATTGTAAGCCTTAAGCAACCACGAAAGAAAGAACTAAAAAATATATAGTGAAAAATATCATTAAAGAAATTAAAATGCTACATTAGAAAATACTCAGCGCAAAAGAAAACAGTAAAGGAGGAAGACAGGAACAAAAAATGCGAGACATAAACAAAATAAAAAGTAAAATGGCAGACATAAATCCAACTGTATGCATAATAACATTAAATGTGAACACATTAAACAATCCAATCAAAAGGCAAAGTGTAATAATGGTTAAAGAAAATAAGATCCAAATATATGGTGTATATAGGAAACATACAATAAATTCAAAGATACAAATAGATTGGAAGTAAAAAGAAAAAGATATATCTTGCAAATAGCAACCATAAGAAAGCTAGAGTGGCTATACTAATATCATATAAAATAGACTTTAAAATAAAAAGAAATATTACTAGAGACTAAGAGGAACATTTTATAATGATAAAAAAGTCAATCCATCAGGAAGATATAACAATTATAAACATATATGCACCTACCCAGAGCACCAAAATACATGAAGCAAAAACTGATAGAAATGGAGGGAGAAAGAGAGAATTCAACAATAATAATTGGAGACATTAATGACATTAATGCCCCACTTTGAATAATGGGTAAAACAACTTTGCAGAACAACAAGGAAATAGGAAATCTGGGCAACACTATAAACAAACTAGAACAGACATCTATCAAATACCCCACTCAATGACAACTGAATATATATTCTCAAACACACATGGAACATTCTCCAGGTTAGAGCATATGCTAGGCCATAAAACAAACCTCAATAAATTTAAAGGGACAGAAATAACAAAAGTATGCTCTCCAACCACAATGGAATGCAATTAGAAATCAATAAAAGAAATAAAATGGGGAAACTCAAAAATATGTGGAAATTAAACAACGCACTCCTAAATAGCCAACCTTACAGAAATAAAAAATATTGAAAAGGATTTCTACTAATAATTATATGTCAATTAGATAGCTTAGATGAAATGGACAAATTCCTAGAAGGACATAAAGTTTAGAGACTGAAGAACAGACAATCTGAATATAACAAGTAAAGACAGTAAATTCATTATCAAAAAACTACCCACAAAGAAAAGCCTGGCCCGGATGCCTTCACTGGTAAATTCTATCAAACATTTAAAGAAGGATTAACACCAATTCTTCACTAACTCTTCCAAAAAATAGAAGATGAGGGAACACTCCCCAATTCCTTCTATGAGGCCAGTATTACCCTGATAACAAAAGTAGACAAAGACATCACGAGAAAAGTAAAGTAAAGACCAATATATCTCATATGAATACAGACACAAACATCCTAATCAAAATACTAGAAACACAACTCCAGCAACATATGAGAAGAAGAATACACCAAGACCAAGTGGGATTTATCTCAGGAATACAAGGATATTTTAACATCCAAAAATCAATTAATGTAACACACTGTATTAACAGAATAAAAAAACAAAAACCACACAAGCATCTAAATAGAGAGAAAACATTAGACAAACTCAACACCTTTTCATGATAAGAAACGCTCAACAAACCAGGACTTGAAGGGACATTCTTCAACCTGATAAAGGGCATCCATGAAAACCCACAGTCAACACCATACTCAATGGTGAAAGACTGGATGCTTTCCCTCTAAGATCAGAAACAAAACAAGGATGTCTACTCTCACCAGTTCTCTCCAACATTGTCTTGGAGGTTCTAGCCAGGGAAATCAGGCAAGAAAAAGAAGTAAAAGGCATCCAGATTGGACAGCAAAACTAACTCAATTCACAGATGACATGATCTTATATAGTGAAAATTTCAAGGAGTCCACTAAAACAAAAAACTATTAAACCCAGTAAGTTCAGCAAGGTTTCAGGATACAAGGTCAATATTTAAAAAGTCAAATTTATTTCTATGCATTTGCAGTGAACAATCCCAAATGAATATAACAAGATTTCAATTACAATAGACGAAAAAGAATAAAATACTTAGGAATAAATTTAACAAAAGATGTGTAAAACTTATCCTCTGAAAAGTATAAAACATTGTTTTAAGAAATTTAAGATTTAAATAAATGGAAAATCATCTCATTTTCATGGATTAGAAGACTTAATATTGTTAAGATGGCAATACTCCCCAAATTGATCTGCAGATTCAATACAATCCCTATAAGAATCCCAGCTGGCTTCTTTGTAGAAACTGACAAGCAAATTCTAAAATTCATATAGAATTGCAAGGGACCCAGAATAGGCAAAAGAATCTTGAAAAAGAAGAACAAAGTTGGAGGATTCACCTATCCCAATTTCAAACCTTATTACTAAGCAATAGTAAAGAAGACAGTATGGTACTAGCATAAGGATAAAAATAGATTAATGGAATAGAATTCAGCATCCAAAAATAAACCTATGGGTCTACAGTCAACTTTTTTTTGACAAGGTGTTAGAATAGTCTTTTCAACAAACGGTAGTGAGACAACAGGACAGCCACATATATAAAAATGAAGTTGGACCTTTACTTCATACTATATGCAAAAATTAACTCAAAGTTCATCAAAGACCTAAATGTAGGGACTAAAACTATAAACCTCTTAAAAGAAAACATAGTGGTAAACTCGTGTGACCTTGAATTTGGCAATGGATTCTTAGATGTCACCAAAAATACAAGCAGCAAAAGAAAAACAAATTGGACTTCATCAAAATAAAAAAATTTGTGCCTCAAAGAACACTATTAATAAAGTAAAAAGACATTCTCCCATTCTCAGAGAATGGGAGAAAATATTTGCAAATCATATATTTAATAAGAGACTTGTATCTGAAATATATATAGAACTTCTAAAACTCAATAATGAAAAGATAAATAACTCAGTTAAAAAATGGGCAAAGAACTTGAGTAGACATATCTCCAGAGAAAATATACAAATGGCAGGTAGTATAGAAAGATGCTCAACATCATTTATCATCAGGGAAATGCAAATCAAAACCACAATGGATACCACTTCACACCCACTAGGATGGCTATAATCAAAAAGACAGATAATAACAAGTGCTGACAAGGATGAGGAGAAATCAGAACCCTCTTATGCTGCTGGTAGGAATGTAAAATGGTGCAGCTGCTTTGGAAAGCAGTCTGCAGGTTCCTCAAACGTTTAAATGTAGAATTACCATATGACCCAGCAATTCCACTCCTGGTTATGAACCCAAGAGAAGTGAATACACACAAAAGCTTATGCTAGCATTATTCGTTATAAGCAAAAAGTGGAAACCCAAAAGTTTATCAACTGAGGAATAAACAAAATGTGCTATCCATACAATGGAATACTGTTTGGCCATAAAAAGGAATGAAGTACTGATACATGATACTGATACATGATACAGACGAACCTTGAAAATATTATGCTAAGTGAAAGACATCAGTCACAAAAGACCACATATTTTGCATGATTACATTAAATAAAATGTCCAGAATATGCAAATCTATAGAGACAGATATTAGATTACTGGTTCTTTCGGACTGGAGGGAGGAGAGATAGAGAGCTGCTAGCTAAAGGTATAAAGTTTCTTTTTAAGGAGATGAAAATATTTAAAATTGTGGTGATAGTTGCATGTATTTGTGAATATACTAAAAAGCACTCAAGTGTACACTTTAAACGGGTGAATTGCATGATACATGAATTATATCTCAATCCTAGATAACAGTAATGTATCAATGTTAATTTTCTGAGTTTGATAATTGTACTGTAGTTATGTAAGGAAATATTCTTGTTTTTAGGAAATACACTGAAGAATTCAGGAGTAAAGAGACATCATACCTGCAACTTTCTAACAAATAATAACGTTGGGGAACACAGGTGAGGAGTATTCAGGAATTCTTTGTACTATTTTTCAACTTTTCTGTTAATCTGAAATTATTTTGAAATAAATTAACACTTAGATATCATTTATTATTAAATTGGTACAGAAGCAACTATATTTCTAGGAATTTAAGGCCTTATTGTTGTTGTTGTTATTATTACCAAAAAACTAGAAACATAAAAACCCAAAAGAGCAACTAGTCAAAAAATGTTTGTTCAGCCACTTCTACTACTCTTGAAAGTTTTCGTAGTGCAGATGTGATATAACACAACCGATTCATTGGGAAATAATCATGATACGAATTGCAATTGGTCATCACAATCAGGAATTAGCACTGGGAGAGCAGGAAAAGAGCAGTGGCCTTGAAAGCACAAGAACAATCAGGAATGACTGTTACTATAAGGAGCTGGCTGCACTTCTGAGTTCAGTTGTACTGTTTTTTTGTTTGTTTTTTTTAGGAAGATTAGCCCTGAGCTAACATCTGCTGCCAATTCTCCCCTTTTTGCTGAGGAAGACTGGCCCTGAGCTAACATCCATGCCCATCTTCCTCTACTTTATATGTGGGACACCTACCACAGCATGGCTTGCCAAGCGGTGCCATATCCACACCCGGGATCCGAACCGGCGGACCCTGGGCCGCTGAAGCGGAACATGTACACTTAACCACTGCGCCACCGGGCCAGCCCCTCAGTTGTACTGGTAAGTGAAAAGTATAGGCTACAAAATTGTATATAGTATAATCCTGTTTTGCTAAAAGAGAAAGAAAAAAAGAAGAAGGCTATGATACACACATGAATGTGATGTGACAGATGCGTGTACGTACACAGCAAACTATAGACACATGTATAAGAGCGTGAAAGGCAGTATAGAACAGTGGTTAAGAGCATGGATTCTGGAATCAGACTGTCTGCACTGAAGGCCAATTGTTAGCAGTGTGACTTTTGGCAACTCATTTAACCTCCCTGTGCTTCAGAGTCCTCATCTGTAAAATGGAGATACTAGTACCAACTTCACTGGATTGTAGGAGATATAAATGACTTATACACGTAAAGTGCTTAGAACACTGTGTGGCACTTTTTAAGTATTACTACTACTACTATTCATGGAATGATAGAACAAAATCTAGAACCACTGAGTGCTAAGATCATACTGATTTTTTTAAAAATCTCTATGTTCTAAATGTCCTACAATGACCATGTCTTATGTGGGGACCTGGAAATGGCCACCCCAAGATATGTCTCTTTGGCATGATGATTACTTGAGGCTGGTTCCTTTGCAGACAGGAAAGCAACTGAAAAGTAGCACTTGCTTACCCTTTGTAAGAGACACTTACATTGTAAAGGAACTCTCCATCTGTAAAGATATCTCCCTCTCTGAACCAGGAAGGGGAGATGACCTTCTCTCTAGAAACTCTTAATCAATACCAAAGGCAAGGACTTAAATCTGCATTTTGTTTACTGTACTTGTGTGGTAATCTCCCATGATTGCTGCGCTCACCTGTGACCACCCAGCTCAAGACAACAGACTTGCCTCCTGCTGTGTCCATCAAGCACTGTGCCAAGAGGGCAATCTTGTGACTATTGTGGGAGGGACATTTCAATCATATGTGAAACACCCTGTTTGGGGCTATATAACCACTCTGTGCACCCCACTTCTTCAGTGCCCTTTCTTCCCAGGCCATGGTCCTCATAAAGCTTTGTTTAATTTTTTCTTGCTATTCTGTCTCATGAGAATTTAATTCATTCTCCGGCCAGACGAACCCACATTAGGTAGAGGAAAAGTCTTGCTCCCCTACAGTTATGACCTTTGTATTCAAATAGGAAAAGACAATAAATAATTTTTTTAAATTAGTATAGAATTGTTTGTGTTACACAAATATAAGTATGCCTTACTGTTTACTTTTAAATCTGGGAAGATATGTAATGAATCTCTCAAAAAGAAAAAAGATTTAAGTATAATAACAGGAATTTTAAGCAGAAAAGTCAGGTAAGTCAAACTAAAATTTATTCAAAGCAAAATTCTATAGTGTCCTAATCAAAATCCCAGATGGCATTTTTACAGAAATTAAGAAGTTGATTCTAAAATTCACATGGAAATGCAAATAATAGCCAAAACAATCTTGAAAAAGAACTACAAAGTTGGAGGACTCACATTTCCTGATTTCAAACTTACTACAAAGCTACAGTAATAAAGACAGTGTGGTACAGACATATGGATAGACATATAAATCAATGGAACATAACTAGCAGTCTAGAGATAAACCCTTACATTATGGTCAATTGATTTTCAACAAGGGTGCCGAGACCTTTCAATAAGAAAAGAACAGTCTTTTCAACAAATGGTGCTAGGACAATTGGCTATCCACATGCAAAAAGAATGAAACCAGAGCCCTTCCTTACGTAATACAAAAAAAATCAACTCAAAATGGATTATAGGCTTAATTGTAACAGTTTAAATGATAAAACTCTTAGAAGAAAACATAGGAGTAAAAATCTTCATGACCTTAGGTTACACAAAGCCTTCTTAGACATGACACCAAAAGCACAAGTGATGAAAAACCAAAATAGATAAATTAGACTTCAACAAAATTAAAATCTTTTGTGCTGCAAACAATATCATTAAGAAAGTGAAAATAAAAACACAGAATAGGAAAAAAATTTTTGCAAATCATGTGTCTGAATCAGGACTTATATCCAGAATATGTAAAGAACTCTTACAACTCAATAATAAAAAGCTAAATATCAATTTTAAGATGTGTAAAAGATCAGAACAGACATGCCTCCAAAAAATATATACAATTTGCCAATAGGCACATGAAATATGTTCAACATCATTACCCATTAGGAAAAAGCAAATCAAAACCATAATGAGCTACCACTTCCCAAACTCTAGGATGGCTATAATCAAAACGATGACAATAACAAGTGTTAGCAAGGATGTGGAGAAATTAGAACATTCACACCTTACTGGTGGGAATGTAAAATGGTGCAAACCACTTTGGAAAACAGTCTGGCAGTTTTTCAAAATGTTAAACGTAAGACTTTCCATATGATTCAGGAATTTCCACTCCTAGTTACATACCCAAGAAAAATGAAAACATATGTCAACACAAAAACTTGCATGTGAATGTTCAGAGTAGCATTATTCATAATGGCCAAAAAGTGGAAACAAGTAAATGTCCATCAGCTGATGAAAAGATAAACAAAATGTGGTATAGCCATACAATAGAATATTATTTGGTCATATAAAGGAATGAAGTACATGATACATGCTACAACAAGGATGAATCTTGAAAACATTACATCGAGTTAAAGAAGCTAATCACAACAGACCACATATTTTATATGATACCACTTAAATGAAATATCCAGAATAGGCAAATCTATGGAGATAGAAACATCAGTGGTTGCTTAGGGGTGGAAGGCTTGGGGGATAATGGAGATAGACTCCATTATCGCTACAGGGTTTCTTTTGGGAGTAATGAAATGTTCTAACATTGATCGTGATGAAGATTGTACAACTCTGTGAACATACCAAAACCCTTCAACTGTATACTTTAAATGGGTAAAATGTACAGTACAGTACGTTAATTATATCTCAAAAGACTGTTAAAAAATAATTTTACAGCATAAGCAGCTGACACAGCTAACAGGACACTCACCTCTCTCTCCAATTCATCCTCCTCTTCCAAAAGATCATATACCTGCTCCAAAAGCTGAATCCCCAGACCTCGGATCACATCAGCTCTCAAGACTTCAACTATTCTTCTGATCTTTTCAGAACCTGGCATGATAGCTAAACAGCAGTAATAAAGAGGAAAAAATAAACACTTTCGCCACTGCAGCAAGAACACAATGCTTTTTAAAAATCTTGTCATGTTAAGATTCTTTTCATTTTGACAAGAGTTTGGTTTAATGACTTCATGTATTTGTAATGACTATAAATGTATATATGAATTTATGCTTCATGTCTCACTGCCATCTCCTAAAAACCACAACTGTCTAATTTAAAGAAAATCCACATGAAAAATTCAAATGTATTTATTTACATTTGTTTTTAAAAATGAATTTTCACGCAGCTTTTCAGAAACACAACTGTTGCATAAAACAAGATATACCTTTTATGGAGATATCCAAATGAAATTAAAAAATTTAAAAATTTGCAAGCATTAGCTCTTTAGTTTGACACATTTCTCCAATAAACATACACTCTCCAGTGTGCTGTAAATGAATAAACTGATCACCTGAAGGCAGCTCTTTGCAATGGAGTTCTTCTGCCTCTTCTGCAACTTTCCCATGAAGTACCAGTGTGTCCCGATACTTCCGATGAAGTTTAAATTCTGACACTGGATCTGGTACTGGGAGATCTTCACAGCTCTCTTTAGAGTCCAATTTTAGGGTCTGAGTCATTAATTGTAGCAAGTCACTCATTTCATTTGTATGACCTTTCCTGGAAAAAAAATCCCATTGTTATTTAATTGGCTTCATGAGAATTTTTTACTAAAAAATTAGATGCAAAACAACCTTCAGGAAGTTCTCCTTCCAAATGGCAAAGTGTACAGATGGACCCTTCCACAAATAACAAGTAGAAATTTTAGGCAAAACACAAAAATCAACTATGTGAAGGCACTGGAGGATGTACAAAATCTGCAGGCAGATGCTAGAGGGGAGTCAATACCTTTTAGGCTAAGGGCAGGCCACAGGCAGCTAAAGTACAACAGAAAATTCAGCGTCTTTCTGGCCTGCAGGATCAAAGGACAGAGTTCAAGACAACCAATGCCACTAGAAAGTGAGAGAGGAATCTTGGAAAGGAGAGAGCCAGAAAGAGGAAGCCCCAGATTTCTGTGTACAAATTCTGCCCAACCCTATTTCTAAGGAATTTAAACTACATCCAAGTGCAAAGCTTAAGAATATTTAAAGAAATATAAAAATACTAGTGCGGCAGCCAGCCCAGTGGCACAACAGTTAAGTGCACATGTTCCGCTTCGGCGGCCCGGGGTTCGCTGGTTCAGATCCTGGGTGCGGACATGGTACCACTTGGCAAGCCATGCTGTGGTAGGCGTCCCACATATAAAGTAGAGGAAGATGGGCATGGATGTTAGCTCAGGGCCAGGCTTCCTCAGCAAAAAGAGGAGGATTGGCAGCAGATGTTAGCTCAGTGATAATCTTCCTCAGAAAAAAAGAAAAACAGGTCCAGGCCCATGGCTGAGTGGTTAAGTTTGCACCCTCCGCTTCGGTGGCCCAGGGTTTCACCGGTTTGGATCATGGGCACAGACATGGCACGACTCATTAGGCCACGCTGAGGCAGCGTCCCACATACCACAAATAGAAGGGCTCACAACTAAAATATACAACTATGCACTGGGGAGACTTGGGGAGAAAAAGCAGGAAAAAAACAAAAATACCAGCCCCTAATGAGATAAAATTGACAATGTTTGGCATCCAGTCAAAAATACCAGATGTACAAAGAAGCAGGAAAATAGCACACATTTGTGAAGAGAAAAACATCAGTTAATAGAAGCAGACTCAGAAGTGACACAAGTGATACAATTAGTAGATAAGGACATTAAAGCCGTGATTATAAATATATTCACATGTCCAAGGTAGAGGAAAGTATTAAGATATTAGGGAGAGGCATGGAAGGTATAAAAAAGACCCAAAGTAATCTCCTAGAAACAAAAAGTACAATGTGCTAAATACATAGGATGGGATTAACAGATTAAACATTGCAGAAGAAGATTAGTGAACTCAAAGACAGCAATAGAATCTATGAAAAATGAAACAGAGAAAAAAGGTCTAAAAAAAGTGAACACCATCAGTGAACTATGGGATAACTTCAAACAGTTAATATACATGTACAGTCATGCATTGCTTCACAACAGGGATACATTCTGAGAAATTGGTCATTAAGCAATTTCATCATTGTGTGAACATCATAGAGTGTGCTTACACAAACCCAGATGGGAAAGCCTCCTACACACCTAGGCTGTATGGTACTAATCTTATGGACCACTGGTGTATATACAGTCCATCACTGACCGAAACACTGTTATGCGATGCATGACTGTAATGAGAAGCCTCAAGAGGGCAGGAGGGGGTTCAAAAAAAGTACTTGAAGAAATAATGGCCCAAATTTTTCCAAATCTGATGAAAACTATACCCACAGATCTAAGAAGACATTCTGTAAGAATCCTGAATGAAAATCGGACATATTCATTAGAAGAGATATTTTTAGCTCTAGCATATACCAAAAACCATTTACAATGGTATCAATGACAGTACTACAGGTCTGAATATCACTATATATGTACATTTAGAATTAATTCAAACAGAAATAGTTTATGAAGAGAGACAGAAAAACAAGAACTCACCCTTCCCTGGAATCACCGTCTGATTTATCCGTTGAACTTGCAGAAGAACTTAACTCATCCTCAGAGAGACAACGGGTGAGTTTCCTTTCCTATTAATGTTCGGAAAAACAAAACTCCACATGACAAACAACTAGAGCATAACACATGAAACAATCTTCGATGCAATGTCTAGACACAATGTGTACCTGCTTCATATAGTTACAAACAAACCTAACAACTTTGGAAAATGGAGAAGATGTCTTAATTAGTCAAAAAACTAAATCACACACTATTGTTAAAGAAATAAATATTCATTACTTTCAAGGGTGGGAAGTTTTGGTTTTGGTTTTGGGTTTTTTTGCTGAGGAAGATCAGCCCTGAGGTAATATCTGTGCCAATCTTCCTCTATTTTATATGTGGGTTGCCACCACAGCATGGCCGACAAGTGGCATAGGTCCATGCCTGGGATCAGAACCTATGAACCCCGGGCCACTGAAGCAGAATGCACTGAACTTAACCACTAGGCCACAGAAGTTTCTACTTTTTAAAATAATAATATGCTCCTAGAAATAGCATCAGAAACTAGAATACAGAAAAATGGATAATTACTCTCAGTATTATTACTACACAGAAAAGTGAACACAGGTGGGAAACCTTGTAATTAACCATTTAGCCACCAGATGGTGGTCCTACATCATCCCTAGGTGAGAAGGTAATGTACTTTGACAAAAATAGGAAAGTGAGGAATGATCAGCAAGTGAGACTAAAATCTGGCCAGGTAGGTAGGTATACTGAAAACACAACAGAATTAGCAAAGTGTTGCCTAGTAGAAGCCCTTTGGAAGTCTTGTTTTAAAGATTATCTAAGAAAGATATTTAAGTAGGCTACCAATTGTTTACAAGAGTGCCTGAAAAAATCCATTCTCTTAATGGAGCAAACGTAATCCTTTGAATTATTATTGACCAGTTCATTTCCTTATCGAAAGTGAAAAGGTGTAACTTAAGTCAGCAGTGTCCCAGAAGCAGAGCTGGCATATATGAGGTTTACTTTATTAGGCTTGCCAGATGTAGACCAGTTTACCTTTTCCTTAGAACTACGTAATGTACCTGAGCAACACTGCAGTCAGAAGACAACCATCCGGCAGCAGAGTGCTGGCCTTCCTCTTGTATTTTCCCTGGCCCCGCTGCACTGAGAGAAGCTCTCCTCACTGAAGGGCCTGAAAAAGTGATCACCCCCAGCAGTTGTTTGTGGTGGGCTGGCCTCAAGGGAAGAGGGTGCTGCACTGGGTATGGAAGATACCCCAGCAAGGGCCAGCCTAGAAGTAACTCAGACATCATATTCATCATCACTCAGGCATCTGACACCTCAGTTCAAATCTCAGCTCTAGGGTTACCAATTCTGTGACCTTGGGCAAGTTACTTAACCCCACCGAGCCTCAGTTTCCTCAGCTGCAAAATGGGGATAACGCTGCCTACCTTCTACCGTTACTATAAATATGAAATGAGATAATGCCCTTAAAATGCTTACCATAATACTTGAGACACAGTCTACATTCAGTAAATGAAAACTGCTAGTACCTTCTTTAGATAATCATTACAGGAATGATCACAGCCCTCAGCCCAGGGCAGCACCATTCTCCCAGCTTCCTCTCTCTATTCCTGAGAAAAGAACACTTCTTTGACCAGCAGACTCTGAACATAGAAACAAATTAAACACCCACTCAATTTCCTGTCTGAAATCTCCCAGGGGTTACTGCTACTCAAAGCCCTCTTGCTCTCTTTTTAATAACGTCTTCCTCTGATAATACAAGTTCTAGATCCAACAGCCTATGCTCATTTTTTTATAGTCTTGACTAAGAAATTTCAAAAATTATTCCAAATTTGTTTCCCAAATGGACTACTGATGCTTGAAAATTCTTAACAATCCGATTGTGATTCTCACAATCAGAACAAATGCTTACATCCATGAGCCATACCAACAACCTCCAACAGATGAAGGAAAGAGAACAACTTTACCTGAGGGGAATATGTCTTCTTGTGACTGCTTTAGTCGCCTCCTCTCTCTTGCTGATAATGGTCGATCCTTTTAAAGAAAGTCGGAGTTACTTCCATCCCTACTCACCATTCTTATAACACCTACAATGCGTGATACATCACCAAGCACTACAGGAAAAGGCCCTGCACAGTGTCCATTTGAAACCAGTCCACATCAGGATTACAGCTACTAGCTAGGACTGATCACGGCCCTCATTTCTGGAAAGTACTCATTTTTGGGAGGGCAAATGGGGAATTTTGCATTTCCTACATTCAGAATCTACTTGGTCTCCTTAATTAACCAGAAGTGACCATCTCTGGAACTATAAAATCTGTCCATTTCAATCAAAGCTTCTGCTGAGAATCACAGATCTATCCCTTTGGAAGTGTTTGGTAAAAAGCAGGGCTAAAACTTCACAATATATGCAAGATTTTACAACCAAAAAAGCTATAAAAGAAGGTTTTAAAAAATCCAGCATTTACTCCCCACAAACCTTTGATGATGACATCTCACTGCTCCTTGAACTGCTCACAGATCCAGTGACCACTCTACTGCGGTTTTCAGCATCCCTTTGTGTTAATGTGTCATCCACTTTTCCAACAGTGGGAAGAGAAGGTAAAAGTCGAGGAGGAGCCTCTTGGAACTTAATTAATTAAAAAAGACGGGGGAGATTATCAATTTCAAACACAACCACTTCCAAAGTTCCCCCATCAGTAAGTCTCCTGTGTATTTGCCAGTAATTTGCTCTCAAAAACTTTAAAACATTGCATTTTTTGGGAAAGAAATTCTGCCAAAAGTGAATGACCATCTAAGAAGCTTATAGAGAGGGTGCCTGTAAAAGTTATTTCAAGAAATGAGGTATAATATCTCAATTAAAAAAGTGAGGTGTCAAGCCAGCCCTGATTGCTTAGTGGTTAAAGTACGGTGCATTCCACTTCAGCAGCCTAGGTTCGGTTCCCGGGCGCAGAACCACACCACTCATCTGTCAGTAGCCATTCTGTGGCAGCGGCTCACCTAGAAGAACAAGAAGGGCTTACAACTAGAATATACAACTATGTAGTGGGGCTTTGGGGATGAAGGAAAAAAAAAAGGAGGAAGATTGGCAATAGATGTTAGCTCAGGGAGAATCTTTCCCAGCAAAAAAAAAAAAAAAAACAAAGAGGTGTCAACAGGATTTTATGCAGAAGATGAGGGAGAAACTGTTCATCAATAAAACACAGGAGGGATCAGAGATTTACCCTTGTTAGTCAGTAACTTTAACTCTCAAAATGATCTGTCCATCTTTGCTGGGGAAGACAAAACCCTTACTCTGCTTCCAACTCACCGACGTTTCAAAACTATTATTTAGCATCTTGCCATTGCCACCCTTCTCTGTAAGTTCCTTGTGTTTCTCATGTGCCTTTTTGGCAACTGTTAATCATTCTAAATAGAAATTGAGCTTCCTAAAGTCTATTTCCCAAGTAGCAGCGCAATGACTTACTCCAAAGGGATCTCCACCAACCTGTCTCTTTTCCCCACTGTGCTCAGTCTGTTCTCTCTTCTTCTGCCGTCGTTGTCGAGACAGAGAAGGTTCAGATCCAGAGCTGTGTGGCTGTAAACCTGGGTAGACTCTGTCCTGTTTTTCTGTAATACATTCACCAGCAACTCGATCCTTTAAAATAATAAAATGAAGCAAACAAAAAAAACAGAATAATACTCTTTTGAATTTCCAAATGGCCAAACCCTCCACACCTAGTTTTAGAATTATAAATGAAAATGAGAGGAAGCAGTTGTCTTTCTCAAAATGAATGCTTATTTGCAGTGTTGACAGGCAAAGATGAAATGCTGACATGAGTTATCCAGATATTCTGGCTTTTTTCCTCTTTTCCCAAATAAAAATAAATAATTATTTTAATTAAATTACTCAGATTGTTACTAACCTGAAACCACTGATGTTTGATTTAGTTTTTTTAAAAAACATCTTTTCATAGCTTTTAATAGGTTTTCTATTCAGAAAACTAACAAATGTTTTAAATGAAATCCAATTGAATATACACATACTTCCCAAGCAAACATCAGGAAACTCTAAAAAGCACCAAGAAGAGTACTGAGTTTGGAGTTAGACGTAATCATATCTGAGAAACTTAATCTCCCTGAACCTCAGTTTCCTCATTAACAAATAGGCAAGATGCTTCACACACACTGTATGACTGCTGGAGGGTAGAGGAGATGGCACACTAAATACTTAGGACTATGTCTAGCACATAGCAGATGCTCAAAAAATGGGAGCTATTACTAGCAGTAGTAATGATAAAATAAATTACCTTTTAAGTTATAAAGATTACCAACAACTTAGTATTTTATTTGGATAGCTGGTTTTAGAAATTAATGCATACCAAACATTAAAATAAAATATTCTTCATTTTTTAAACAATTGTTAACGATCAGAATATTTAGGTTTTCAAGTAGATGTACACTGGTAATTGAATATGATCCAATCAACACATTTTTATCAAGAGCCCACTATGTGGTACATTTTAGAACGAAAAATGAATGATATGATATTAATACAAGGTAAAATTGCTTTCTAAGAGCCATTACCATTAAGACCATATCATTAAGATCATTATTATCATCTATCATATAGATCCTCTGGCAAACACAAAATAATGACTCCTATTGGAAAAATAATTTGTAAATGTATTCTTTCAAGGGTACACCTAACATTATACATAAAACACAGTAAATGATCAAATTTTACAATATTATTACATAATAAGCTAGCTGAACAAGAAGACCAAGATACTAAACAATGACTGATACAATAAGGAAGAGTGAAATAAATGTTTCTCTGCTGTTAAGTATAGGCTGTTCAAAATAAAGTTTATGCACGTATAAGAGTGACAGAGCAAATGACTTAAAGAGTTTCTCTGTGAAATCCAATTGGTGCTGAAAAAAAGTTCTACTTTTAACAACAAAACAATAATAACAAAAAAAGAAGTAGTGCTGGATATGAAATTCTATTAAACAAACAAAAAAATCTGCTCTAAAAGCCTGATGTAAGGAATGAATTTGATCAGGACCACTTCTCTTCAACATTGTACTACAGGTTCTAGCAGGCAATTAGGCAAGAAAAAGAAATGAAATATAGATTGGAAAGGAAGAAGTAAAACTATCTCTATTCACAGATGACATGATCTTGTATTCAGAAAATCCTAAAGAGTCCACTATAAAAAAAATTATTAGAACTAATAAATGAGTTCAGCAAGGCTATAGGATACAAGATCAATATACAGTAATCAATTGTATTTCTATACACAAGAAATGAACATTATGAAAACGAAATTAAGAAAACAATTCCATTTACAATAGTATCAAAAGGAATGAAATACTTAGAAATAAATTTAACAAAAGAAGTGCAAGGCTTATATACTAAAAACAAGAAAACATCAATATAAGAAATTAAAGACCTAAATAAATAGAAAGACATCCCATCTTCATGGGTTGGAAGACATATATTAAGATAGCAATATTCTGCAAATGATCAATGCAATCCCTATCAAATCCCAGCCTTTTTTTCAGAAATTAACAAGCTGATCTTAAAATTCATATGGAAATGCAAAGGACCCAAAACAGCCAAAACAATATTGAAAACTAAGACTAAATCTGTAAGACTCAAACTTCCCAATTTCAATTTCAAACTTCCCAATTTCAAAAACGATAAAACTACAGTAATTAAGATAGTGTGTTACTGACATAAGGATAGATACATAAATCAGTGGAACAGAATTGAGAGTCTAGAAATAAATCATTATATTTATGGTCTACTAATTTTCAACAAGAGTGCCAAGATAATTCAATGGGGAAAGAATAATCTTTTAATGAATGGTGCTAGGACAACTGGATAACTGCATACTAAAGAATGAAGTTGGACCCCTTCTTCACACCATATACAAAACTTAACTCAAAACAGATCATAGACCTAAATGTAAAAGTTAAAACTATAAACACCTAGAAGAAAACATACGAGGAAATCTTTATGACACCAAAAGCACAAGCAACAAAAGCAAAAACAGACAAAACTGGTTTTCATCCAAATTGAAAACATTTGTGCTTCAAAGGACACCATCAAGAAAGTGAAAAGACAACCCACAGGATGGGAGACAATATTTCCAAATCTTGTATGACAAAGGACTGACATCTAGAATAAAGAACTCTTACAACTCAACAACAAAAAGATAAACCAATTTAAAAGTGGGCAAAGGATCTGAATAGATATTTCTCCAATGTAGATATACAAATGGCCAATAAACACATGAAAAGATGCTTAACACATCATTAATCATTAGGGAAATGTAAATCAAAACCACAATAAGATACCACTTCACACACACTAGGAGAGCTAGAATCAAAAACACAGAAAGTGAGAAGTGTTGGTGAGGGTACGGAGAAACTACAACTCTCATATATTGTTGGTGGGAAGTAAAAAATGATGTACTTGCTTTGGAAAGCAGTTTTGCAGTTCCTCAAAAAGTTAAACATAGAGTTACCATATGACCCAGCAATTCCGCTCCTAGGTGTACACCCAAGAGAACTGACAACACATGTCCACACAAAAACTTTTACAAGAATGTTCACAGTAGCATTATCCATAGTAGCCAAAAAGTGAAAACAACCCAAATGTTCATCAATTGATGAATGGATAAATAAAATATGGTATATACACATAGTGGAATTTATTTGCCAATAAAAAGGAATGAAATACTGCTACATGCTACAACATGGATAAACTCTGAAAACATTATACTAAGTAAAAGAAGTCAGACACAAAAGGTCATATATTGTATGATTCTATTTATATGAAATACTCAAAATAGGCAAATTCATACAGACAATGGTTGCCAGGGGCTGGGGACAAGGAGGAATGGACAGTGACTATTACTGGGTATGGGGTATCTTTTTGAGGTGCCAAAAATGTTCTGGAATTAGATAACAGTGATGATTGTACAACTTTATGAATACACTAATAACCACTGAATCAGTACTTTAAAAATTAAAAATATAAACAGAAAAATAAAAGAAGTGAACTTGAATTTAATTTGACAGCCAAGCTGAACAAGCAGGACACATATAATTTTATCTATAAAGTACTAAGGATTCCAGTGTCCAAAGAAAACTTAAGATTATTTTGGTTTTAATCCAATGACTTTAAATGACAAGAGCATTATACTTGCATTTTTCCATAAAAACAAAACTTTATTAAAAACATTTGAATATAAATGTACAAAATTTTATACTTATATAAAAGATGATGTTAAATATAAAATATATATAACAGATCAAATTTAAATATATGTAGCATATATTATAAAAATACAGTTAATATACATGAATACATATATGTATTACATTTTAACATATATTACATATTAACATATCATATTACATATTATGTATTAATTAATACATATTAACTATATTTTTAAAATATTTTAAGTATAAAAATGTAAAGTTAATCAAATGTTCTGGCTTTCTCTCTAATCTTAGCTGTTACCATGCTTCATCAAATTTAGGCTTCTTTCCAATTTCAAGTAGAGGATAACCTTTAAATTTACTCAGAATAGTTTCTTAGTATCAAATCCTTTTGTTCCTTTCCTTTTCTTCTTTTCTTCCTTCCCCTTTGGTTCCAACACATAAAATATTTTTTGTATTCCTTAAGAAATTAGATCAATCCACTAACTTTTCAAAAGCAAGAAGGAATGTGATATTATCTAATTGTTAGAACTACCCATCCACTTGGAGGACTAAGGAAGAGTGATGCGGAAGCAGGAAGGACATACAGATAGCATGCTTCCACCAAGTACCCTATGCCAGGGCACGGAAGACGTCTAAGAATCCCTCAGGTCCTAACCTTTGGTTTCCGTTATGTTTAAACTGGTACCCAAACTAAAACAACAACTAGAACACAACCAAACAATACAACCCACATCTTTGTAACCACACTTTCCAGTCCTCCCTGAAACCAACACCTCATGTGTATCACTCACCTGGTCTTTCGGCTTTTGGTCTTTGTTTAGAGGCTGCAGAGGCTTCACTGGGTCATTCTTTTCCCCAGTGACACTGTCAGACACACATGTGGAAATCAGGTTTCCTGGCTGAGCGCTGGACTTAGTGTTATGCTGCAGGCTCTCCTTCACTTGAGAAATACTGCATTTACCTTCTAGCTCATTAGAGGCATCTAAATGTCTTGGTTGATTCTCTTGAACTAAGCTGTTGCTCGAGTCCCTCCTTTCTGCAGGTAAGATGTCAATATTCACCCTACTGATTGTGGCTAGCGATTCTGAAGTAGTGTTCATGTCTGGTTTGGAAGTGTGGCCTTTCAAATTTGTAGGTGTCTTCAAGGGGCCAACAACTATGAGTTTCTCCTGGGATAAACATTTGTCTTCACCCTGAGTGAAAACATGCTTCCAAGTTATTACAGCACTCCTCAAACCATATAAAAAAATTAATTCAAAATAAAACGAGAGGTTCCTCAGAAAGTTAAACATGGAATTACCATATGACCCAGCAATTCCGCTCCTAGAGTGAAAGTGGGAACTCAAATAGGGATTTGTGCACCAATGTTTATATCATCATTATTAACAATAGCCAAAAGGTGGAAACAACTCAAATGTTCTTCAGCAGATGAATGGATAAACAAAATTTCAGTGTATACATATATATATAACAGAATATTATAAACCCATAGAAAGGAATGAAGTTCTGATACATGTTACAACATGGATAAACCTTGAAAACATGCCAAGTGAAATAAGTCAGGCACAAAAGGACAAATATTGTGTGATTCCACTTATATTAGGTACCTAGAACAGGCAAATTCACAGAGACAGAAAGTAAATTAGAGATTACCAGGGCCTAGAAGTAGGAGGAATGGGGAGTTAGTGCTTAATGGGTACAGAGTTTCTGTTTGGAATAGTGAAAGAGTTTTGGAAGATAGTGGTGATGGTTGTACAACATTGTGAATCTAGTTAAGGTCACTACATTGTATGCTTAAAAATGGTCCCAAAAGGTTATTTTGTTATATATATTTTACCACAATAAGAAAAATTTTTAAAAAGATAAACAACCTAAATATAAGAGCTAAAACTCCTAGAAGAAAACATAGGCATACATTTTCATGATCTTGGATTTGGCAAGGGATGTTAGATACAACAATAAAAGCACAAGCAACAAAAGGAAAAACAGATAAATTGGATGTCACCAAAATTAAAAACTTGTGTGCATAAAAGGACACTTTTGCTTTATGAAGAAAGCGAAAAGACAACCTACAGAACGGAAGGAAATATTTGTAAATCATATATCTGAAAAGGGTATAGTATCTAAAATATAGAAAGAACTCTTAGAACTCAACAACAAAAAAACAAAAAAGAACCAATTTAAAACTGGGCAACGGACTTAAACATTTCTCCAAAGAAGGAATACAAATGGCCATCAAGCTTGTGAAAAGATGTTCTGTGTCATTGGTCATTAGGGAAATGCAAATCAAAATTTCAATGAGATACCTCTTCACATCTACTAGGATGGCTAGAAGCAGAAAAACAGAAAATAAGAGTTGAGGAGGTTGTGGAGAAGTTGGAACTCTCATGGATTGCTTGTAGAAATGTAAAACGGTACATCTGCTACGGAAAAGTGTGGAGGTTCCTAAAAAAGCTAAACAGAGAACTACCATATGACCCAGCAATTCCACTCCTAGGTATATACCCAAAAGAACTGAAAACAAGTGTTCAAACAAATACTTGTACACAAATGTTCACAACAATAGGCAAAAGGAGAAAACAACCCAATAACCACCAAGAATGAATGGAGAAAGATATTGCGATGTGTGTGTGTACATATATATATATATATACAATATATATATATATACACGCAATGGAATATTATTCAGACATAGAAATAAATGAAGTATTAATACATGCTACATGGATGAACCTCAAAAACTTTATGCCTCAACAACTACAACAAAGTTGCAGAGTACAAAATCAACTTACAAACATCAGCTGCATTTCTATACTCTAATAACGAACTAACAGAAAGTGAACTCAAGAATACAACCCCATTCATAACCGCAACAAAAAGAATAAAATATCTAGGAATAAATTTAACCATGGAGGTTAAACACCTATACCATAAAAACTATAAGATATTACTGAAAGAAATCAATGATGATATAAAGAAATGGAAAGATATTCCATGCACATGGATTAGAAGAATAAACATAGTTAAAATGTCCATATTGTCTAAAGCAATCTACAGATTAATGCAATCCCAACCAGAATCCCAATGACATTCTTACAGAAATAGAACAAAGAATCCTAAAATTCATATGGGGCAACAAAAGACCCTGAATAGCCAAAGCAATCCTGAGAAAAAAAGAACAAAGCTGGAGGCCTCACAATCCCTGACTTCAAAATATACTACAAAGCTACAGTAATCAAAACAGCATGGTACTGGTACAAAAACAGACACACAGATCAATGGAACAGAATTGAAAGCCCGGAAATAAAACCATACATCTGGGGACAGCTAATCTTTGACAAAGGAGCTAAGAACATACAATGGAGAAAGGAAAGTCTTTTCAATAAATGGTGCTGGGAAAACTGGACAGCCACATGCAAAAGAATGAAAGTAGACCATTATCTTTTGCCATACACAAAAATTAACTCAAAATGGATTAAAGACTTGAAGGTAAGATGTGAAACCATAAAACTCCCAGAAGAAAATATAGGCAGTACACTCTTTGACATGGGTCTTCGAAGGATCTGTTCAAATACCATGTCTACTCAGGCAAGGGAAACAAAAGAAAAAATAAACAAATGGGACTTCAATCAGACTAAAGAGCTTCTATAAGGCAAAGGAAACCAGGAAGAAAACAAAAAGACAAGCCACCAAGTGGGAGAAAATATTTGTAAATCATATATCCAACAAGGGATTAATCTCCAAAATATATGAAGAACTCATACAACTCAACAACAAAAAAAGAAACAAACTGATCAAAAAATGGGCAAAGGGTATGAACAGACATTTCTCCAAAAAAGATATACAGATGGCCAACAGGCACATGAAAAGATGTTCAATATCACTAATAGTTAGGGAAATGCAAATCAAAACCACAATGAGTTATTACCTTACACCTGTTAGAATGGCTATAATTACTAAGACAAAAAACAACAAATGTTGGAAAGGATGTGGAGAAAAGGGAACCCTCATACATCGCTGGTGAGAATGCAAACTGGAGCAGCCACTATAGAAAACAGTATGGAGATTTCTCAAAAAATTAAAAATAGAAAAACCATATGACCCAGCTATCCCACTACTGGGTTATCCAAAGAACTTGAAATCAACAGTTCAAAGACACTTATGCACCCCTTAGTTCATTATGGCATTATTCACAATGGCCAAGATGTGGAAGCAACCCAAGTGCCCATCAACTGATGAATGGAAAAAGAAGATGTGGCATATATATACAATGGAATACTACTCAGCCATAAAAAAGACAAAAATCGTCCCATTTGCAACAACATGGATGGCCCTTGAGGGTATTATGTTAAGTGAAATAAGCCAGACAGAGAAAGACAAACACAGTGTGATTTCACTCATATGTCGAAGATAAAGCAACACATGAGCAAAGAGAACAGATTAGTGGTTACCAGAAGGGGAGGGGGTTGGGGGTGGGAATAAGGGGTAAAGGGGTACATATATATATCGTGACTGACAAATAATAATGTACAACTGAAATTTCACATAAAGTATTATGACTTCAATAAAACAAAAATAAATAAAAACAACAACAATATTATGCCCAGTGAAAGAAATCAGACACAAAAGGTCACATATTGTATGATTCCATTTATATGAAATATCCAGAATAGGCAAATCCATAGAGACAGAAAACACATTGATGGTTTCCAGGGGCTAGATGAAGGAGGAAATGGGAAGTGACTACTTAATAGGTGTGGGGTTTCCTTTTGGGGTGATAAAAATGTTCTGGAACTAGATGGAGGAGATGGTTGTACAACACAGGAAATGTACTCCATGCACTTAATTGTTCACTTTAAAACAGTTAACTTTATGTTATAGAAATTTTACCTCAATAAAAAAAATTCTTAAAGTCACCAGAGCACTAACTTCATGAACCGTTTGACAGCCCACTCTAGATAAAGCGGGCTAAAGGAATCACCTTCACCAGTGTTCTTTCTTTACAATACAGAGCTATTTACACAACAGAATCTCTAGTAAAGTCTAGTCACTGACATAAATTAACTTGCTTAGATAAACTATCATTTTAATGTAGTTTCTAAAACACATACCCTTTAAACAGAAACATACCATTACATATGTCTTGGAGCCCTCAGAAGAGTGTGGGTGGAAGGGAACTACTTCCTGATTTGATTCAGCCTTTCCAGAAACCACTGTAGTAACAGGCTTGGATTTACAGTCACCATTTTTAGTATTATTTTTGCAGGTTTTTCTTTATGAGAAAGGAAAAAGGAAAAGTTATAATCAATATAGTGAATATCATGGGTTTTTATGTATATGAGGAAATGTGTATATGTGTTACACAGCTGTTCCATTTATAGAGAACAGTCTTCTAAAAACCAAGCCGAGTACAAAATACTTGACAAATACTCTTCAAAAACAATCAAAGTTATGGAAAGCAAAGAAAGTGAGGAATTATCACAGACCCAAGTTGACTAAGGGGATATGAGGACTAAATGTAATATAGTATCCTGGATTGGATCCTGGAACAGAAAAAGGACATTAGTGGAAAAACTGGTAAAAGCCAAATAAAGTCTGGAGTTTAATCAACAGTGATGTACTGATGTTGGTTTCTTAGTTCTGACAAATGTACTGTGGTAACGTCAGATGTTAATGATAGGAAAAACTAGGTGAGGGGTACACAGAGACTCTCTGTACTATCTCTGCGACTTTTTCATAAACACAAAATTATTCCAAAATGAAAAATCTATGAGAAATTTCCTCACGTACAGAAGTACCAGGATAATTTTCATCTTCAAGTTTCACAAGTTTGTAATAACACCACAAGTGCTTTATACTCAGCCTTGACTGGCAGAATAAATGTATACAGGAATAATATCCCCAACCGCTTTAGTGTGACGTTTCTACAACTAGGCTAAACCTCTGGAGAATTCAAGGGGAGCATGAAGACCAGCACTGCAGAGAGCCAAAGGTCTGTCTGGTGGGAAATTATAAACAACATAAACAGAAAGATGGCCCTTCTTTATTCCCTGGATCCTCTCTAGCACTGCCTCCCAAATTTAACATGTCACAAGGCAAAGATTGTGAAGATCTTGTCCAGGCCTAAGTCTTAGATCCTGGAACAGCTATTTGTTTAGTGAAGGTAGGACCTGAGAATCAAAGAAAAGAATTCTTTTACTCTTGAGAAGTTTTATGAGTGAAGAGGGAACCTTATGAAAGCGCTCAGAAAATTGAGCACTATTTTTTAGATGTGATTCTTATCTTACACACTAAATAATGTAATAGATTTCTTAGATAATCTCTCATTTCAATATGGTTTCTAAAACATATGTCCTTTTAAAAGAATAGTATTCAATATGTCTTGGAACCCTCTGAGGAATGTTAAAGTGCTTCTCTAAATGGTTCTCTAGATTTCTGATTCTAGCACTTAAGCAAATTTCAACACGATTATGTTATAATCATGTAATTTTAGCTCATGTTTAAAAAAAACTCACCATAAATTCTTGCACATGAAATTTATAGAAGCTACCCTCTTTTATTCCATCATTTAGCCTAGCTATTTGCAAGGGAAGTATCTTACGCCTTTGTGGCCTCCAGAAACAAGGATATTTGGCGCTTTATATAAGGCTGCCTCAGGATGCTCCTCACAGAGGGTCTTTCTTCAGGCCTTTTGCTCAGCATTGTTCTTATCAGTTCTGCCAGCTCTGGGCTATAATCTTTCGGCATTGGCGGCAGCTACAAAGATAAATAATACCACAATTATGACTAATGGTCTTGTAAAGCAAAGTAAAAGAAGGTAGAGGTTTTCCAATTTTTATTTAAAAGCAATTATCCACATAAGTAGAAAAGAACCAGTGTATTAGTCTACAGGAAGCACACTGGTGTCTTGGTTATAATAGCAAGTTGTAAGATTGTAACAGTATATCCTTCAACCCAACAGTCCCATTTGAGGGCTTTCTCCTTCAGAAATAAAAGCATGAGTTCCTAAAGATTTATATACCAGGATATTCCCTGCAGTATTGTTCATGCAGTAATAAACAACTTGAAACAACTTAATGTCCATCCATAGGGGACATGTGGAATAGATTATGGTACACCTTTCTAATAAAATACTAGGCAATCTCTTAAAAAATAAAAGACTTGCGGCTGGTCCCGTGGCCAAGTGGTTAAGTTACCGCACTCCGCTGCAGGCGGCCCAGTGTTTCATTGGTTGGAATCCTGGGTGCGGACATGGCACTGCTCATCAAACCACGCTGAGGCAGCGTCCCACATGCCACAACTAGAAGGACCCACAACAAAGAATGTACAACTATGTACTGGGGTGCTTTGGGGAGAAAAAGGAAAAAAATAATAAAATCTCTAAAAAAATAAAAATAAAAAAATAAAGGACTTAACAGCTACCAACCTGGAAAGATGTCCCTTGTATAGTAAGTCAAAAAAGCGAGTTGTGTACCAATGTGTACAGCGTGATTCCATTTCAGTTACTTTTTTAAAGTATCAGTGTATATAGCATATATACACCCACAGTCATGTCTGTATAAAGACAGGAAAAAGCCACAAGGCTATGCACCAAATTATTAGCAATGAGCATCTCCAGGGGATGGAAATGGATAGGACAGGAATTTCACTCCTTTCTTATTTGATTCTTTAAGTAGTGGAATTATGGGAAAACTTTACTTTTTTGTTGTTTTTGAATATTTTTCAAATTAAATGAGTCTTGGTATAATACTATAACCAGTAGGTTGCAACTTTAAAACCCAATGGTGTAAATGCCTACCACTGCATAGGTCAACTAACCTCCTGGAACTAACACATAAAGTTGGTCACTCTGGTAGCTGTATCACACACAATGCTTTTTGCAATTCTTAACTGGTTGCTAGTAATTGTGATGATTATCAAAGGAGAAACAAGTTCAAACAGAGTGGACTCATTTTAAATGGGGCTCATTTAACCATAAGCTGCTTAGGAAAAGCTACCAATAGCCTATCAGGGTAAGTGTACATCCTGTGGCTACAAGATAGTCATTTTCAAAGAGCCAATTCATTGGAGACATTAAGCCACCTTTATAAATTAATATTAAGAAATGATCAATCTCTTCTCCTCTAGTTCAAGCTTCCCACAGAAGGGACCCACTATGAAATCAATGATTACTTACTTTTGCTAGTAACTACTTACAAAGCTACATTAAATTAACTTGCTCCACATATTAAAAACTAGTTCCAGAATATTCTTTACCTTTCCTTCAATAATCCGATAAACTAAAGAATTCATGTCTTTTGCATTGAAAGCATGCTTCAGGGTGGCCATTTCATAAACACAGCATCCCAGAGCCCAAACATCAGACTAGAAAGGAAAAATAGCAAAAGTTAAGTATCGGAATGCCTTATTTTAATAAATGGTTAAATGTCAGAAAGTTGTATTTACATTTTCCTCTTTAAAAAAAAAGACATTTTCCTTAAACCAATTCACAAAGAATTCTTCTGACTTATTCTGATGGGTTCTGAAATTAGGAATACTGTCTTAGAAACAACGTGAGCGAGTGTACACAGCCCAATCTTACCTTATAGTTGTAGGGTTTGTTTGAGAACAATTCAGGGCTCATGTAGTAGGGTGTGCCAATGAGGGTGCTAGCCATGTCACAGTGGTTCTCTAACACTCGGGCAATTCCTAGGTCACCCACTTTGATAATGTTTGTTCTTGTTAGGAAAACATTTTGAGTTTTCAGATCTCGGTGAAGGATGTGTTTTTCATGTAAATACTGAGGAGAGAAATAAAATATCATTTAATATAAATGTAGTCATCTACTTATTTATTCCTAACTTCTTATATACAATCAACAATTGCATAAGTTAAAGAGCCTTAGTTACCTATATATCAAAATACTTGTTTTATAGTCTCAAAATAAAAAGTCTAATTTACAACTTTCCAAAGTAAGAAAATTAAGTTCCATGCATTAATTTGCACAATATGCTTTACAATTGTTCCCTGGTGCCTTGAGCATTATACCATTTAGCACTATATGGATCCAGTTAAAAAATATGCTTAGAAACTCCCACTGAAGGTAGAAAGACAACTTATACAAGGTCACATACACAGGCATCTCAGACTCATGAAATCTTCAGCTTAATAATATTTTCAAATATAACAAGATCACTTTTATTTAGAGAAAGTATCTTAGAATTTAAACAAGGTCAATTAATTCAGGACAAATATGCCCAGTTCCGGAATGGTATTTCGTAAACAGTCTCACTTCTGAACATGTGTATATGAAAACACAAACATGGTTTGCATTTCCACTCACTCTGTCACAGCAGGGTTAAAGCCCAAATCCCCACAGTTTAGGCATATTAATTAGCCCAACCACCTTCCAGTATGACACAGCTGACCAGCTGATAACAAAGGGTTCTTAAAGTTGACTTCGCTATGAATATTAAATGAATAGAGAATTGGCTTCCCCTGGAATTAGACATGAAATCCATGTCTACTTCAATATGGATATCACTCATTCAGAAACATTCCAATACTACAGCATCAGGGGCTGGGTCTACTTCATAAACGGACTTCAAAAAAACCACATCATTTTTCATGTAAGCATCTGGGGAAGAATTTTCCTAAAATCCACTTGCCATCCCCGTCATCTTGGAGCAAAGGGGATGCGATAGGTCTGGACAGTACCTGCAGAGCCATGGCAATCTGAACAAACCACTCCACCACCTGACTCTCAGGCAGAAGCTGCCCCTTCTGCTCCTTGAGCTTTCGGTACAGATCACCTCCTTCGCAGAAGCCCATGACGATGTACAGCAGACCATCCCCTCCCTCCCAAGACTCCTTATAGGTGACAATATTGGGGTGCTTCAGCTGAGACAAGAGCTGAGCTTCCTGTTCAGCAGCTCGCCGCTCTCGGCTGGAGGCATTTCGGAGGTTCAGTTTTTTGATGACATACTACAAAGAAAATACATGTTTTTACAATGTGCAAATCAACATACAGTTTTATAGGTTCAGAAGTATTTAAGGGTTCTCCTGAATGTCCTCAAAACTAACCTTCTGAAGCCTGCCAGATAACCTATTCATTTTGTTACCAACAAAGCACAAAATTGGAGAAAAAGATTTGCTATCACTAATGATACTTTTTATAGGTTAAACTTATAACAGGGTGAGCGTCACAAAAAACTATACTTTCAATCTGCATTTTACAATTTCATTGAATGCTAAAACATGAGTCCATGTTAACACACCACTGAATCAATCATAAAATCTCTGGAAGAGATTTCTTAACCTCTGTTCCCTCTACACAGGTGCATAAAATATACTTCTGCAGACACAATGGGTCCATGGATTGTATTAGATACTCAAAGGGATCCATAACCCAATAAGGTTAAAAATCACTGATCCTGAACATACAAAATTATTCCCACTTAAAAAAAAAATCAATATCCTCTCACACCTAATACATCTCCTCTCCCTGTCTCTGCTTGTCTAGGGTAGTCCCATTGTCCTGGTGTAGTTATTAATAGTGCCTTTCAGTTTCAAAATTGTCCTGGTTTGTACAATACATTATATGGTCACCCTATTTATAAACCACATTAAAAAACTGGCTCCTTATCCTGAGGGTAATAGGACAAAGTGCTTTAAGCAAAGGAGTGACAACATTCGATGTAAGTTGTGGAACAATCACTGAGACTGCAATGGAAGTGATGGACTGGAGAACAGCAAGTCATGTGGCAGGGAGGACCAGTGAGAGGCTGTGACATAGTTTGGCTAGATAACAATGTCCTGATTGGGGTGGTACCAATGGAGATGGAGAAGAGGCCTGTTGGTTTAGGGGACAGATGAATAAGGGGAAGAGAGGGGAGTCAAGAATGACTCCCCAAGTGTACAGCTTGGGTACTGCCTGGTTGGTGATGCTACTCACTGAAATGGGGACCGTGAGAGGAGGTCTAGCACAAAAGTAATGAGTTTTAAGAGTCCAGTAGTCTCCAGGTAGGACGTATGGGTCCCTTCACTCAAGGAGTGATATTGCCAGGCGCCGCCTTAGGTCCTGGGAAAGCATGATCTCACGGAACTGTCCCGTGTAGGGGAAGGAATGTAGCACACCAATTAATACCACAAAGGAGAACTACAGGGAGGCCTGACCTAGTCTTGGCGTCTGGGACGTTTTGCCTAAGGAAGTGCCTTCCGAGGTAAGCCCCCTCTATTAGACCACCCGGGGCCCAGCCTCGGGACGGCGGCCTCAGCGCACCCCTCCCTGTCCCTCGCCCCTGCCGGGCCCCATCTCCGCCGACCTGCCTGCCGTCCCGTCGGTGCCTCACGAGCGTCACCTCCCCGTAGCTACCCCTGCCCACGACCCGCAGGTAGCAGTAGGCGGCCAAGGGCATGTTCCCAGCGCGGGGCTACTGTTGGGATGCGGCGGTGCAGGCGGGTAGGGCAGCGGGCCGCGGTGGAAGGTCCCGCTCATGCCCGAGACGCTGCGGTGTCGGCGGCTGCGGAGGCTGCCCGGCCCGGGCGCGAGCACGGAGGCCGGCCTCACGGCGACGCCGCTGCCATAGCGATCCCGCCCGGCGCAGCCCCGCGCATGCTCCGGCGGCCCGGGAGGTTCCGGCGCCACAGAGCCAGGCGCCAGGCGGCCAGAGCGGTGCCCCGGTCCCCGGAGGTCCCGCCATAGAGCCGAAGCGGCAGGGGCCCAGAGCGGCTCCGCCAGACCCTGCACGCACCATCTGCCTCAATTCCACAGCCGGGAGCTTCCGGGTTGCAGGCGACAGTAGAGTCGCAGAGGCTTACGCTTATTGAGCAGTTGTACCAAGCGCTTTCCAAGTATTGTTCATTCATTCTAAAAATATTTATTGACCGCCTACCATGTGCCAGACCGACAAGGTCCCTGCCCTCCTGGAGCGCACATTCTAATGGGGAGAGGGGGCTGACTACTCTAGACTCTACAAGTAACATGTTATCTTTGCTCTGTCTCACGTCTATCTATGTATCCAGCAATCCATCTTATTGTGTATGCATTTCAAAGTAAATTGGATATATCGGTACACTTTACCACTAAACACTTCAGCCTGCTATTGAGAAGTGCAAAGAACTCTCATCGGGACTCCATCCAAACCCCTGTACTAAGCGACTTGGCCAAACTCTGCCATGGCTTCTAACAGCTTAAGACAGTGTCCCTAGGAGGACCCTGGCCCCCCTTAAAAGGCCTGTCTGTGCAGGCTCAAAACTGCCGCAAGAATTGTTTGTTCTAGCCAATACCTCCCTTTCCTAGAGCATTTACTTTAAGAAGGTTACAATTATAAATCCTTCCTTTGTCCCTTTGAGGGGATATACTATCTCCTACAACCCAGGAGTGTCTTTCTCAAGGACCTGAAATCCACCTCTTTGAATGTAAGATTTCTTTTGCCTACCTCCGAAAACCAATTTTTACCCATTTGGGGGCAACATCACCCCTGCTGGGAATGCATGATATAGAGCACACTATTACCCCAGAAAGTTAATTCATGCCCCTTCCCCAACCGCCTCCCAGAGACAAACACATTAGTTCATTTAATCCTTAATTAGTTCATGTAATCAACCCTGTGAGGGTGGTAATATTATCGTCTTCATTTTACAGTTAAGAAAACTGAGTCTCTGGGAAGGTAAGAAACTCGAAACAATATTCTAGAAGGCTTAGGGTTTGCTCATCTTAAACCCCACTGTAGTCACTTGGCCCCACTTGGCCCCACCTGTCCCCAGGAAAGCTTCCTGGAAGATTACTCAGATTCCCTAGATGCTTTTCTTAGTCTTCATCCATCCCTCTTCCCCTAAGCAGCCTTTACCCCTCTGGGGAATCTTCCTTCTTGGTTTCTAGAGCTTTCCTGGTTCTTCTTCTCCTCCTGTCCATTCCTGTTCTCTTTTGACTTCTCATGCTCCCCTCAGGTTTGAGGTCTCCTAAGGTTCTGTGCTCTGCCTTCTGCTTTTTACCTCCCCCAACTTGCTTTTCGTCAAATCTGTCTTTCACTCTATAGGCATTTAGTGTGGTACAGGGCCAGTGCCCTGCCCTGAAGGCATAAAGTGAACAAGACATACAAAGTCCTGCCCCTGTAGGGCTTACAGTTGAAGAGGGAGATGGCCATTACTCGATGAAGCATACTAACCAGTTATCCTTGCCAACTGAGGTCAATGCTGTGCAGAGAGGTCACTGGGTCCAGCCTAGGCATCCAGGGGAGGTTGCCCCAAGCAAGTGTTGCTTGGACTGAAGCTTGAAGGAAAACTTTTTTCAGGCAGAGGGAGCACCATGTGCTAAGGCCCAATGGACTTGTTTTGTGACTCCACCTCCATACCTCAGTGTGAACTCCCTGAGCACTGGGCCAGGCCTGCAGGCTGCAGTACCCCAAACCCGGCGGTTGGCATGGGGTTGACACACAGCAGGTACAAAAGGATGAATTTGGGGTTGATGAATGAATGAGTGAAAAAGCGCAGGCCTATACGGATTGGGAACAAGTCTCTATGGTTGAATCTGAGACCCAGAGGGGCCATGGGCTGGTGAGATGGAGGGGTCATAGGGACCAGACCACTCAGGATCTGGAAGTGTGTTAGACAAGGAAAGGCCTAGAGCAGATCGACCTTTTAAAATGATGAGTCTTACTGCTGCTAGAGAGTAGACTGTAGGAGCAGAGCAGAAGTAGGGGGAGCAGCTATCTAGGTGAGAGACGAGGGTGGCTTAGACTCAGTGGTGACTGGGGATTTGGAGAGAAGTAAATGGGTTAGAAAGATATTTAGAGGGTTGGAAGTGGGGGTGGGGGTCTAAAGGAGGGAGGCATCCAGGATGCCACCCAGCTTTCTGGCTTGGATGCCTGGGCGGATGGTGGTGGTCTTCACTGGGGTGGACAGCAACAGGAGGAAGACCAGGCTTGGTAATAAGATGTAAGAGGGGGAGAGAAAAGTCATGAGTTCAGTTTGGACATATAAGATTGAGAGGCTCTGAGAAAGTCAAGCAGGCAGTTGGCTGTGTGAGTGGATCTCAGAGCAGGTCTGGGTCTGTGTGCTGTCCCACAGCACCAGCAGCACAACCACCCTCCACTCTCAGGCCTCCAGGCTTAATCCTCAGCAACATCATCTGCTTTCTGTCCACCCATCCCCTGACCTCTCACATCCACAGAGGATAGAAGAACCTATCCTCTTCATCTGTAATGTGGGAACAATGAGAGAATCTGTCTCTTGGGGGTAGTTGTGAGCAGTAAGTGAATTAGGATATAAAAGATGCTGAGAAGTGGGCCAGGCACTAGTCACCGTCAGCTCTCCCCATACCCTCTCTCCTTCCCAGACCACACAAACATGTTTCCAACACCTTCTATGGACCCGGGTTGATGCTAGCCATCAACCGGGGTTGGAAGCAACAGCCCAGTCTCAATTTTGCCACACCCCTGATCAAAATATCTTTCATTTCCCAACCAAAAGACTGGTCACTTTCAGACCCCTGTGCCAGCTGCTCCCAAACCACTTCCCACCCTCCTTCCCCACCTTCTCCTTCAGGTCCTGCTCCTATCACACAGATGCTGCACCTTCCCCAAGCATGCTTCACATTTACCCATCTGCTCGTCTCTCCCTCCCCTTCCCGCCTCCCCCTTCCCAAGTGCTGCTCTATTTCCCTGGCACCTCCTTCAGGAACCTTTTCCAAGGTCCTGTGGAGATGAGTGCCACCCCTTCCAGATTTCTGCAGCTCCTTCATGCTCCTCATAAGCTTCTGATCATTCCTGGGATTCCCTGGGCTTCCTTTGATTTGTCTGAGTCCTTTGCCCAAGGCATCAGCTCACTGAACACAGTGAGGCACTCAAGTATCATCTGTGGTGTCCTTGTGCCTGGCACTGTGCCCAACCAACCACAGGGCCCAGTCAGGACTGGTGCAGGAAATCAACAGGACCTCAAATGTACAGCTTCATGTTGATCCAGCTTATCTTCCACAAAGGCCAGCAAACAAGCCAGAAGGTCATTCTGGCCTGGGGTCAATAAACCTTTTCTCAGAAGCTGCTCTGTGAGACAAAGTCCAGTGCAAGCAAACAGAGATCAAAGAGGCCTCTGGGCCCCTTATCTTATTGGGGTCATGGCAGCCAGCATACCCCACCCAGGGTCACAGAGTGGATTGCCCAGGGACCATGTCTGCCCAGGGTGCTGTGGCTTGTGGGACTCAGGGAGAGTTTAGGCATAAAAATTAAGAAACTGCAGGTACAAGAGGGGTCTCTGGGGCCTTTGACTCTGCTTCTCCTTTCTTCCTAATAACGAGGAAGGCGTTTCTGTCATTATGTGATAGGCTTTGGCTTTGAAGTCTGAAAGATCTGGGTTTGAATACATGTTCTGTCACTTGCTGTGGGACCAATGTCCCAGGGACATCATAAGGATAAAATTAGACAATACAGGGCTTAGAGCAGTGCATGGCGCACAGTCGGCCCTCCAGTATGACGATGTGGTATTCATCTTTGTCTCTCCTTTATCTGCCAGGCAGTCCTGCTCAGATGGAGGAACGATGAGGCTTACTTCTGTTCTTCTTTCCAAATCTGAGCGAGAAGGACCAGAGAGATGAAGCAACTGTCCTAAAGCGTGGGTCACCCGTTAGGCATTACCAGGACTGCCCAGGCTGCCTCTGGCAGAACTGCTGCTAGGGTGGCATCATCAGAAACAAGGATGTGGACAGACACTTTCTAAGCCACAGTATCTGCCTCCCTGGTCAAAGTGTGGCTGTCTGAAAAGTCTGTTGATACTTAAAGGATTTTGAAAGTGACACCCAACGAAGTTTAGAAATCCATTTTTAACTGTGGCTTCTTGCCACATGTCACTATATCAGTAGTATTGCCCTGTGCCAGACCCAGCATTAGACGAGTCATTGGGGTCTTCACAATTCATGCTGGCTGAGCGCAGTTCTATACAGAGGGATGTGGTCTGAGTCTGGTTAGGAGTTTACACAGCTGGGAATCCCCTCAGGGAGAAAGCTTTCACTGCCGTTTTTTGATGCTCCAAATTGTAATATTTGCCTTCACCCTGTCTAATGTTTAATCTGTGTTTATTCAGCACTTTATTGATTAATGGCCTAACTGAAGTGACAAGGCAGTGGGAGCCTTGAGACCATGGACGGCACCATGGGGCTGCGGGGGCTGCTGTGCATGTACGTGGTGCCCCTCCTGGCCCTGCAGGCCATGCCCGCTCAAGGTTCACCCACAGACAGGCCCAAAGGCAGCGAGGTATGTGGGTACACCCTCAGGGCAGAAACAGGCAGCTGGGCCTGGATCAGGCTTGGGAGGGACACAAGACCCCTACCCTAGGGGCTGGGGCCACCCCCACCTACCTTGATCACCTCTGACTGGAGAGGTGAGGCCAAGGGCAGAGGACACAGGCTGTGTCGCACTCCCATCCCTTAACAAATAGTCCGTGGGCCCCTGAGCATTCACACTCACACTTGCACCTGGTTTGTTTTACAGAAGCGACAGGCTGTGAACACAGTGAGTGAGAGCCTCGGCTAAGGGATCTGTGGTGGGGCCATTATTACAGCCTTGTTCTCCCCCTCCCTCAGGGGTTTGCCCCTCTGTTAGTGCTCTGGGGAGAAGGAC